AATCTCACATTATCATATTATCCCTTTTGCTCCTCGACCTAATTTTGCAGCTGTCCAGGTGCACATCTTGAAGGCAGAAAAAGCTGGTGAGTGGTGGAAGTTCACCGTCAACATCATCTCCGTCTACAAGCAGGGCGAGAGCCGCATCCGCCGTGGGGACCAGTTCCTGTGGGTCCGTGCCAAAGATGTGGCCTGCAAGTGTCCCAAGATCAAGACCGGAAAAAAGTACCTCCTGCTCGGGAATGACGAGGAATCCCCTGGCCAGAGCGGAGTGGTGGCAGACAAAGGAAGCCTGGCTATCCAATGGAGGGACACGTGGGAATAAAAAGAGACAGTCAGAGGACCATGGACAGAGAAGAGACTGTTTATGTCGCTGCTTTTTTGTGTAGAAGCATGAAGAGAATTATTTAGGATGTTTTGTTTTTTCTAGTGAACTTTTGTTGAAGGAGCTCGCCTTGCAGATTTGGTTTCATGGTTTATTTTACTCTGTCTTTCTTGTGGATTTGCCGAATTTGCACCTAATACCAGTATATAAAGTTAAGTGTTTGTTTTCTTTATCTCAGTATGAAATCATGATATTTTATGTTTTAATTTTATGGACATTTTTCTGGTGGTGCAAAAATGACAGAAAAAGACACTCAATAACCACTGCATCTTTGCCTCTGCACGGTTTTCTTATTCTTAGCTTAGAAGTGAGCTTGTTTCATCTAAAGTCTGATTGAGGCAGAAATTTTTCCTTTGTTAAAAAGTGTGCCATAAAGCATACAGGTTCTACTGTAAGCCACAGGAAGGCACAGATCGAGTAGCTGTCAGTGAGTTGCCATTTGTTTCCCTTGTTGATCTGCAACTCAAGAAACAAAAAAGTTGCCCGTAATTTGCAGCTGCAAATACAGAACATGCAAATGACAGAAGAAAAATGAGATTAAAATACAGTATTGAGCTTAAATAATGTTTTAAGATTTATTTAACTCCTCCACACGTCCACCTCCGATTTCAGGGTTAAATTTTGTTGGTTCAGTATTTGTACAAACCTGCAAGTGAATGAACACTTATAATTTGTAGTTGTAATGTTCAGTTTTCTAGCTGGTGCTGCTGATGGTACAAATGTTAAAGTTACACTTTTTTGGAAAGACACTTAAAACTAATTTCACCTTTAATGCTTATTGTAAGTGTGATTTTTTTTTTCCTCAACCCTAGCAGGAGTTTACTAAGTGATGTACTAAATGACAAGAGGCCAGTCATATTGATTGGTATAAAAATATTCACAAAACCATCTCTGTTCTGGGGTAGAGTTGATAGATATAAATAACACGCACCAAATAACATGTCAAATGTTTTTTTTTGTTGTAATTCATTTGATTTAGATTTTTTGTGAATGTTATGGCAGGTCTTTGTGCAAAGTGGATGCAACATTATTGTGGGTGAAAGCCGCTGCAGATTCTGCATGTTCTCAGTACTGACAAGAAGTGAAATGTCACAAGTGCAAAAGTGCGGATTTTTGTATGATTTACCATGTAATGAAAATGTGTGAAATGTGTCTTTAAAAAAAACTTTTAAATAACCCCTGCCTCTTATTAAGGCATTACAATTAGCGACTGACTACTAAATCTGAAAAGGTATGTAACAAGTAAGGTCTTCACGTATATAATCGATACGAATTGCAGGGGGCTTAATCAAAACTAAATATTTCCTTTCCTGTAGAAATTGATCCCAGTGCAGCAAAATCAAAACCTGAGTGTAAACAGTGAAATCCACCTCACACTGGCTTGTATTTATTTAGAATAATTCCCACAATACTATTAGATGACAGAAAAATAACTTCACAGTCCACACATTCTTTTGCAAGCAAAATGCACGATTGTACGTTCTCTGAAAGAACTCAGTGCGACCAGTCTCCCATTGACCTGTCACATTAATTTTCTTCCCTTCTACACTTGCACAGGGAGAAATGGGGCTAACTGCAATCACTTGAAGCTGCTTGATTCAAACCACATTGCTCATTTATTAGTGTGCAGTTCAGTTTGGATTTTTCAAAGGAATGCATGGTAACAACACAGCTCAGGTTGGTAAAGATCCCACAGTGGATCTGATGTGTCATAAATGGGGTTTCCTTTCAGCCAATCCAAAAAATGTTTGATGTTGCTAGTATTCGTTGTTTCACAAAATCAAATTTAAGATGTTCTACAAGTAACTGCAACAAGGTTTTTAAGATCATTTAAGACCTGTGATTTTAATCAAATGGCCTTCCTTTGTTTCTACTAATTTAGAGACCAACTCATTTGTCCAGGAATGATATGAATGGGCTGAAATGCCTCCTAGATGATGACAAATTTGAGGGGCTTTTTTTTAACCCTAAAAATTTTCAATCACCCGGGCTCAACTGTAAGATAACAAAGTACAGAGTTGCTGAACTGCTTCTCAGTATTTACAGTGATGGTCAGAAGTTTGAGATCACCTCCACTTTTTCAGTTTTTATTTAGACATTTAAGCAGTGAAAGTCCTGTTAATAATAAATGGTACAAAGCTAAGAAGTAAACTGCCAGAGGTAAAGGAAAAAAGTCAAAATACTAAAAATGTGTGTAAATTTCATGGAAAACAGGCCTTTGTCAGGGATCAAATAATAACAACTTCCATCTTTTCTGTAGCAGTAGAAGTAAATTAAACCTTGACAATGGATCCAAACAATTCCTACAGATGTCCCAAGTTTTGTTCATTACTTAGAACAACAAGTTCTATCTGTACAAAGACAGTGTTGGAAAAAACTGCTGCCATGTCCTCTGAAGACTTATTTGGAAAAAGGTCCTTCTCAGGAATTCATCCTATAGCAGGAGAATTACCCCCCAAAAAACAAAACAAAAATCCCACCTCCAGCCTGTGTAGAAGAAAAGACATAGGCTTCGAATGATGGAATAGCAGCACAGTGTCCAAATTTTCCAGATGAAGAATGAAAGCAAAGCAACCAACAAGTGCACTACATCTGTGGGAATGTCTGCAACAGTGCTCTCTCTCTGAATAATATTTGACTTCAGTTGTTGAAAGAATGTCAGAAATGAGTTCGGCCGATGAATCGGTCAGATGATTGTGATTTCAGTCCAACATGATGCTAAACGCCACTGGCTTCTCCAGCAGCGACGATGAGGACACGCTCACACATATATTTATGTGTTCCTGCATTTCATTGTTGATCATACGACATAATGTTAAACGTCAATGTTTTTCTCTTTGGCGCCGTGTAACCCGTAATCCCACCTCTCTAGTTTCTCTAGCTTCATGCTGTAAATTTCACATTCATCTCCTGAGCAACGGTTTGACAAGGTTCTCGATGAAACGCTACACCCATCAAAGCATTGCTGTGTGTTCCTACTATGAATTGTAAATGTTGTTTAGGTCACCACTGCATACATTTTTTTTTTTTTTGCCAATGGTGTTTTCCAATGTGTACTAATATATTATGGTTATTATATATGAATATATTTAATGACAAGACATTGTGGATTTTATTGTCTTCTTCAACTTTTTTTTAACTTGCGGTTGTTTAGATCGTTGTCATTAAAGAAGGAAATAACTACTGAACACATCAACCTGGTAGAACTAAATTCAGATTTCCTGTTGAAATAAACGTGTTACATTGAAGTCATTTGCCTCTGAGCAATCTTTTTACTTTTATTTTTAATTTTAGATGAATATGGAACAGATTAGGTCTGGGACAAAATAAAAACAAACAGCAAAAGAAAGACACAAATCATTAAACACAGGTACAGCTCATAAATGGCTAACAGTTCGATTTTTTCCCCGTATTTTTTCCTCCTCCTCCTTCTGAAGTCAGAGGCTAAAAGTAATTTTTTTCCATGGAGTGGATAGAGTAAATTATGCTGGTGAAAAGGGCAATGATAGGAGGGTTCCTCTGCAGCCAGCATTTTGTCATGGTCTCTTTGCTCAAGGCCATAAAAATCTTCATGAGATACAGTATGTATCACCCTTACTGAGGTCTCTGGAGATATTTCCAAGGTATGTACCTTCCATGTGGAAGTGAAAGAGAAATCAAGTTGCTGGTCCAGAACATCTGAGACTAAACCACCCACTGCCTTCCTGAAAATCTGGTCGGATAAACAAAATCAAAATACATGGGCGTGGTCCACTGACATCGATCCACAATCCCTGAGGCAGGGGTAACAAGACCCACTTATTTCTGATTTCTCATTGGTAATAATAAAATAATGAATCAGGTTCTTAGAGCAGAAATCTCTCCAGAATAGTGAGATAGTGGAAGTACACAGAGATTCCCAGATTTGAAGCCATGCCTCTACAGCTTTGTCTAGTCCGTTATCCCAGTGCTGCTTCATAGTTGGTTGAAATTATGTTCATTGAGTTAAAGTCCTTGTATTAATAGTCTAAGAGCTGAAATACTTCTTGAGTTATAAGCATCAATAAATATCTGAATTATTCTTGATGGCTCAACAAAATCAGGACATCTTATTTTATCAAAGCAAAAAAAAAAAAAACTGGCCAAATCTCCAATTACCAATAGAAATTGCCTCTGCCCATCCCAAAGGACTGGCAAAGATCCCCCAAAATTCTTAAGGTTTCCATCTGTTATTATTCGGCAAAAAGAAGTGATTTCCTGCTTGGTCCATTGTCTATGGCTACAATCTTGTGGTGTGGGAAGGAAGTGCGGCTCACATGCCGAGAGCAACCGGATCTCTTTACAGAGCTGGACTCTCTGTGAATATTTATTTTTTGTATTTATTTAGTTATTATGTCAATGCTAATGCAAATTGTCAGCCGTTTTCATTTACTGGTTGCCTCTTCACAACTATACTAGACAGAACAGTATTATGCAGATTTCATAATAAAGAAATATATAGAGAAATATGGAAGTAAATCTAGCATGTTGTTGCTCTGTCAAAATTCCAGCCCAGATAAGTGTCATGTTAGAATACACTGCAACTGCCCAGAAAGAGCCCCGGGCACAGAAGCAACAAACGGGAGTGTAGGGACTATTAACTGGAAATGTAATTTATTAGACAAGCTGAATTGATTTACAAGCAAGGAAAACAGCCGTGTTAGTAACACAGCCAGGCTGTTTGTTTTGGCTGAGAATTATTCTAGAAAAATAATAAATTCCCAAGACAAGTGATAACATTACAGCTGCTACAGTAACACATGGATAAATATAAGAGAGTGTGAACACTGCAAAGCTTGTAGAATTACTGTACCCAGTGTGAGCTTCAACTCAGATTACAGACTCCTGCTACCTGCATGAAGGCCATTATTAGTCCAGGCTAAAATTAGTTTTCCAAAACGCCAGAAAACGCTACTGACTTCTTGCTTACTGAGCGAGACAACTATTAAAGAGGAGATTTTACACATAAGCAATGCATTCCAATCCAGGGTAAGCAATGCCATTGTCCCAACTAATGTTGTACAGAACATTTTAACCGCTGAAGGAGTTAAGGCTCCCTCTCACATTGCCTTGGCTGGGAAATCACCAGTGAGAAAGAATGAGAAAAAAATCTGATGAGAGACAGTGTTTGACTGTGTGCCTGTGTTCAATATGTAGGCAAACGCTTTAGACTGGTATTCTGCACCAAACTCTCATTGTAGCAGCAGCACAGGTCCATGACCACTGCTGTCCTCGTCAGCTACACAGGCCACACAGCAACCACTACGATGGCTATAAGCAGCAGCACGATCACCACCAGCATCCCTAAAGGAGAAAAAAGGAGATTAGATGCAAAATCCAAAACAGTTATGTCAACTTGAAGCTTCACTAGACAACTCCACACACTGGTGGCCTCACATAGCAAGAAGTAATGTTGATATAGTTTTGTCAACAAATCCCATAAAAAGACCAAAAAATGAATTCATTCTACTAACATGTATTGTTTGTATATCCAAAGCTATACAAGTATGTGTTGCCACACACTTCCACTGTTGTCCAATAACTGCAGAAGCAGAGTCATGATATATATAACCTTTGAAAAACCCTTGGGGGGATTTATAGAAAAAATAAGGCATTTACAGTTTCAGAGGAAGACTAGTGATATTAAGTGCTTAAACACTATTTAAATGAGGTTTAAGTATTTTATCATAAAATGTTTTCTTTTGCTCTATCCCTTTGTGACAAAACCTTCGCAGTTCTATAAATTCTAAATTCAAGTGTCAAGCAGCCGGGGGACTCAGAGAGATGGAATGGAGTGTAGCCGAGACAGGGTAACACTCTAGAAGAGGTAAAAAGCCTACATACCTCACTACTAACTTTCATAGGCCTTGATCTAACAAGTCCCAAGTATTTATGTGCTCGCAGCACATGATCATTCTTCTTGTGGTGACTTAATGTAATTTACATGTGCTCAACAGCCACAAGTGCTTTACTGCCACAGACTGCACATGGTGATAGACATACGTTTCTGATTCTGCCTTGGGAAGATAATCATTGTTTTTCACTTATACTATGAAAGCAGAGAAAAATGTGCTAAAACTCACTCACACTTTGTCAAAGTATTTTATCCCCATGACCAGAAAATATTAGTTTTTATTACAGTCATGAAAAAACCTCTCTGTTGTAAAATCTACTTCAGGTGGAATTTTCATCTTTAGTGTAAAGACCTACGTCATTTGGGAATGTTTGGATCTAACTGGATTAAATCTGAGGCCAATGAGTGTGCTTACTGAATTTAATTATTTTGAATAGCTTACTAAATCTAGTTAGGTCTAGCTTTTAAATAAAAGCATAAATACCATTAATCCTTTGGTATTTGCTCAAAAGATTGACATTCAATGTCCTAAAACTGAAGTTTCATCCAATACATGCAGATCACTCATTTTCTTGTTTGCTATGTATCTAAATGACAAGCCTTTGATTATGAAAGATAGTTTGACATGTCATATTAGGAAACACTATTATAAACAATTAACAATGGTTGAATTCCATTTATTTTGATATCTAGAGCCCAGTCGATAAACAGCTGAAACAGTACAATAGCTGATGTTTATTACAGGTATGTCATATAGGTGTATCTTTTTGGCAGATAAGCAATAAAGTAGTTTTAGTAGAGAAATATGTTTGAGAGGATTTTGAAGCTGTGTTCCCACCAGAAACCACTGGCAAGTTTATTTTTCAGTGTCTGGCTCAATCTGTATCTTGTCATGATCACCAAGTTTAAGGGATTCTTTTCAAAAATGTTTGTGTTTATGAATAACAAAATTAATATCATTAATATCAGCTCATATAGTGCAACAAGATCTTTTTTTTTTTACTCAAATATCAGTGCCTGCCACAAAAATCCAGTATGAGTAAGGCTATATGTGAATCTAAAACTTAACTGGCCTCTCTATGCGTGTGTTGGTATTACTCAAGTTGAGGGGATATTAATCTGTTCTCATAAGACATTTCCACCAGAGGAACTTTACCAACAGAGCAGGAACCTTTTTCAGAACGCAGTTCCTCTACCAGCATTTCTACCAGAGGATCCAGGGTCTGCATTTAGATCCAGATCATAGTTTTACCTCCAAAAAGTCCCGGTTCCTTGGGTTTTCCATTTGTAAGGAGCATTTTAATGAGTGGGCCTACACGAAGAGACCAGTGAGTAAGATTAGTGGATTGGAAAATATGGGTTTGGTGTTTGTGGAGCAGCTTCTCCTGGTGTTTGACCTGAGGGTGGAGCATTACTCAGAGTTAACAATTCTTATGCTCTGTTACTGTATGCACAATAAAACCTTGGCGAAAAAAATACGGCTGTTACACAAGCATAAACTTGCAGAACAGTAATAATTCCAGCTTTGTCTCCAATCTGTCCTCCACCATGGCTATATGTTAACCATAATGAGCACTTTACATGTAGCATTCTTACAACCCAGCTGTCGACTGGCATGCTTTTACATCAGCTGGCTAATTTGTCTAACCTTCCCTAGGCTTCAACCCTGTTGTGGAAATGCATATCACAGTGCACTCCAGGGATAGATCTTGGGCTTTAGGTCCTGGGAATAAAAAATGCTGGGGGCTTTCTTTTGTATATGCAGCTATGGTCACACTGTGGGGGAAACAACTTGGTTTGGGGGACAAAAAGGAAGTCCCCAGAATGTAAATCATTACATTTTAGAGTGATGACTTGGTTTAAGGTTAATGTGAGGTTAGGTTAAGGCTAGGGTAAGGATTAGGTGTTATTCCACCCCTAATTGACTCCACTTGTTCATTGCTGTTTAGTATGCAGCTGGTATTTTTCCTCAGCCTTTCATTTTAAGTTTACAATTCTCTTATCCTTTGGCTCTCTCCTCCTGTATTTCCTTTGGAGCAAGATGTAAGCCATACTGAACTAACTGCTTGCAATAGTCTGATGAAGTGCAAGGCTGATGCTGGTTTCTTTGCCAGGATATGGGGTATGGCTGTAAGGTGTCCAAATGTCTGTACTCCACTCGTTGTGCCATTCTTGTCATCCATTTCCTTTGTTCCTTCTAACTGATTGTTTCTTTTTTTTTGAATATACATCCTTTTTTGAGCATTGTGTGCTTTTTTTTATTTATGAGAGGAAGATATTCATATAAGAGTCTACTGAATAAGTGTTTCATTCAGCCCAGTCCAGCACTGCCCGTGGCTCCATTTGCCAACACTGAGACAACAATAACAATAAAGGATATGCTACTGTGGAGTAAGGCTCTCATGCCCCCACTCATAAAACCACATGGGACAACCACCCTGCTGCTCACCCTACTGCTGTCTTTGGACTGTCCCTGGCTGCCTCAGTAACTAAAGAAGCTACCCCTGGCTCTCGGGAAGCCTCCAGACAATAATGGTGTTTGCTTGCCAAATAGATTAAGTCTCTGCTGTGACACTGACGCTGAGGGAGAAAGCTGGTGTCTACTGATAGTCTGACCACCCAGGAGCTTTGGAGGCCGCCATCTGGGTTCATCCCATCATAGCAATTTTCAGACACATCAGTAAGATAAATCACAAAGAAAACGATTAATTGGCAAGAGCCTTGAACAGCCAGAGAGGTTCCCCATTCCTCCCTCACTACTCTGTCGTGCCCCATGCTTATGGTTCACAGCCCATTTCTGGACCACAAAAGGCAAGAATGCCCTCCAAAAGAAAAGAACAAAAATGTTAACAAGGTTAGTGTGACACTAATCATTTTTCTCATAGCACAACTGAGGAGGATAAAAACTTTAACTGTGAGCTAAATGTTAATGCCACCAGACTACCATGCTCACAATGACAATGATAACACACTGATCTTTAGTTGATATGTTTTCCATGCTCACCACATTAGTTTACTTGGTTAATATTTGCTAAATAACATTAAACACACAGTATAGTTAAGAGTGATGTGGATGTGATGTTTCAAAGTATTTAGTTATAAGTCAAAGTTTTGGACAAATTTGAAGTTTGATCTTATGGAGACAGATGAAAAGACACAGGGTTGTTAACGTTATTACAGTTCATCTTGATGGGGATGTTTCACTGCAATTAATCCAATAGCTGTTGATCATTGTGGTGGCACTACAGGAAGTTATGATATTGATGGATTGGCCCATCAATACAACTAAAGTAGACAGAGCTCAGTCAGCATTTCCTCAACAATTCCTGATTTATGTACCATTAGAGACGGAGTGCAGTTACTTGCCATACATGCTGTTCTTCCAAAACCATCAAATGCTTCTTTTCACCAACAGTCTATTCTGACATACCATCAAGTCCAAACAGTATAAACCTACTCGAGCTGCAAGCCACCTGCGGGAGTCATGTTGTTACAAAAGTGGCCCTATACAAACTGAGGATTAGCCCTATTGAGAAAGAACTGATGTTGCCTGATGGTGATGGCAAAGCTCTGGGAAGCTCACACTACTCTTGAAGAGAGCCACAGACTAATCTGCAGCCCTAATCTGACCAAACTCAAACCTACCACTCTTCAATTCCCTGCTAAAACAAGTGGTAAGGACGGTGTAACTCGGGCTTAGCGGTTTTAGTGACACCAGTGGATTAGTGTTGAAAAGGCCTTCCAGAAACTTAAGAGTAAAATTATCATTTAAATCATTAAATATCCAGTCCACAAAACTGACGTCATTAATGATAATTTCCAATCCAAGTCTTTTATAACTACTGCTGAATGTGAAATGAGGTATTTCAAACTTGGAACTCTATAATGCAGTTAATCAAGTCTAAACCTTGGGAGACAACCTATTCTACAAGCCTGTGCTGTGCTTGAATCCTCTATGTTTCAACATAATAAATGTTTCATTACACTACAGGCACCAGTCACACACTTTCCTTTTTAATGAGATAACCCGTCATATAGCTCAACTTACTCTTCTCCAACTTCAAGCTCCTCTGGCGCATGCATACACACAAAATATTTTGCCTGTAACTCAAGAGTGCAAATGACTGATGATTAATAGTGATAACTCTACAGTAAAATCAATTTTCAGGAACTTTTAGAACAACTTCAGTCTGGAAAATCTAAAATGCCACTTTCACAATGCGGTGGCTATCAAGAGTTATGTTAAGCATGCTCTTGGCTGTCAAAGCCAGACATTCCTAACTTTACAAGGAGTCAGCTGAGACATAACACAAAATGGCGGCTTTGGATGAGAGATGGTTTTAAAAATAAATAAAGCCTTAAGGCTAAGGAATTATAAACGTGCTGCCACGGAGAAAAAAGGAAAGCCCTCCAAACAATTTGTGGCATGTAGTATTTTCAACTCTTTCTCTACTTGAGACAAATGTCAAACAACTGAGGAGACGATCGAGGGATGACAGAGAGAAAGGAAAAAAGCAAAAGAGCACTGAGGTGAGACAATAGAGGAATTTTCCATTTACTGAGAAGGTCTGAGACACACACACACACACACACATATGTGCACATCAATACACACATGCATGCACAAGAATACTTTTCAAACACTATTTTAATAATTTGTATGGGCGCTTGGAAATGCACCAAGCCAACATATTTATGTGACATAATATAGACAAGCAAGTGCTCATGGTATCATGCACATGCATGGACATGCATATGCCCCATGGATATTCTTTAGCCGTCAGGAGCAGGAGGGAGGTTTGGTGGCAGAAGAAAAGTTGAACAAAACAGACAGAAAGAAAGAGCCCTGATTCAAACACAATATAAGCTCTGGGATCTTTAAACAAACTTATGCATGGGCACCATGGGGACACAGCCAACAGAATGAAGCATTCTGGGGGTTGACCTTCCTACTGTCTGCTCCATTCCTGTCAGTGACTGCCTGTTAGCGGGGTCTCCTAGGACCAGCCATAGCAAAGTTTCTGTCTGGCATTTCACTGGGCAAACAGAACCTGGCTCACACTACCACATTCAATAAGTTGGTTTAAACCAGCTACCACACCTCTGAAAAACTTTACCCACAAAGAAAAACAGAGGAGCCGAGTCTTGTAAATAACAAAACAAAAGTTAAACAAACCGAAGCAGATCTGCGGTGATGATAATGGAGGGCCATGCATTGACACGGCCTTCCAGGGACCAACTAAACTCACCAAAATCTGGAGCTGGAACAAAAGAGGTTGATGACTTAAGGCCTGATTTGCAATGCTCAGTAGACATTTGAGGATTCCTCAAAGGACTAATATGAAAGGCCTTCTTAAAAGCCCAGGACATTATGTTAGCAGGCATGACAAACACCACCAGTCCACCCACCATTCAACACCCACATGCTCTGTGCAAAGAGCGCTTGTCTTCACATCATTTTTTTCATTTCCATTAAAACCAATTCTCTCTGGAAAGAAGACTAAGGGGGGTAATCACTCCAACATTACGCAGTTTCTAGAGGATAACTTTGAACTGCTAAAAAAAAAAATTACATGTACCTAACATGATGATTATATAAACTGTCTAAGGGTGGTACTACAGTATTATTTTTGTCTAACTGTCTCACACTAGCCAGTTATTTCCTTCATAAAAGCCATAGTCTGTTAGACACCTGGTCTGTGAACTGCAGGAAAAACAGGAGAAACCAGAGGCTTTCTATAAATATTCACATAAATAACCAGTTAAACATTTTTTTTATATAAAACAGATTAATTTTGTTTTGTTTTCAAGGACACAGATGTGTTTTCCCTAATTCTAGATCAAGTCCATGATAAAGGCTCACCACAGGAGGCCGACTTTGTCTCCACCAGCTTTACCCTCCGTGTCTCATTACGAATCTTGTCATCTGTCTTGTCCACAAGATGTGCAAGGTCGTCAATGATCTCTGAGAAGCAAAGAAAGAGAAAGAAAAGAGAAACAAGGTCAGTAAAGCTAATTTCTGCTTTGTATTGTTTGCTTCTTTTTGCCACTACTAAGACTTTTTTAATCTCACAAAAGACCTTCTAATATGCTTTGTATAATAACAAATTACCCCAAATGAAAAGGCGACAGCTTCCACAGGACTTGACATCAGAGTGGTCAACAACTTCAAAAGGAAGAAGCTGCCAACACAGAAACGCGAGTGCTGCTGAAGTGGGCTGTGTGAAAGCACTCCTCACCCTCTCCAGCGGTTTCACTACTTCCTGAATCCATTCTGGATTTAATCAGGTCCTTATTATTAATTATTTTAAAAGGCTTCAGTGATTATGCCCGGGCATCCAGAGAAATACAGGGTGCATTATGCGTCTGTTTGTGTGTTTGGCACTGTGGCCAGGGTCCGCCAGGCCCTTCCAGATGGAAGCCTGTGTGATTTGTTAGATCTAGCCGCTGTGTTGACAAGGCATCTTTAGAGGTCTGGGCCAACAACAAAAACAGATATCTGCTGAAAGATTTCTAAATTCTTGATTTGTTAAGGTTGGACTTTAAATGCAATACTAGCTAGAGATGATATTAACTTGGACTTGTGGTTTTGAGTCAGAACCCAGTCACAAATGGCACATGGTAACCCATGACTGACTTATAAATAGGCTGAAACAAATAGAGAGCCATAGGGATTGTTTTAGTGTTTTGTTTTTTTTTTCGTAGGCCAACCTGGAAGTTAGCATCATCCTGGTTCCCTCAACGTAAAACAAAAATGGGATTTCTGCATAGGTGTTCGGATTATTGCAGAAACTAAGGTCTGTGACAAACAAGGGTTTATGACACTCAAAATCACAGGTGGGGTATTTTAATGATGCATTTTATGTCACAGAACAAAACCTGAAAATGTATTGGCCTTGTGTTAACCACAGACTTTATTTCAAGCATCTAACCAAAAACCCTTTCAAAAACCCACTGACTTCAGGGTGATGGAACCGGAAGGTCAAAAATGTTGACTCAGTTCCGGGCTTTAGGATTCACTACTACGGCACTATATACAAACTCATTTTAAACATCATCTAGTTTGCACAGGTAAGGAGGGCACAACAACATTAACTGAAAATATCTTGTGAAAATACCAGTTAGGACCATCTATCAGCTTCTGTCATCATTCCGCTACAACGACAAAACTAAGAATAAATACAAGAAGAAATGTGCGCCTCGTTATAAATCAGGAGATTCATTATGAAACAAGAACTCATATATACCATTTCATCTTAAAAGTGCGTTCAGAGATTTAGATTTGTGCCATTTTTTCTTTCCACTGCAACAGTGATGATAGGTCCTTTCCAGCCGTGTAAATTGAGGAAGACATAACAAAACAGTAAGAAGTGACTGAAGAATAAAAAAGGGAGAAAAACAGAAGCAAGGCTGAGTGAGAGAAAGGGAAACTCTTCACAGATTCTGATAAATAGAGGTTTGAAAGTAATAGGAAGCTAGACTCATCCACAAACCACAGCCCAATGCCAAGCTAAACATACTGTTCAGTCCAGACAGGAAACAACTTTTTATTGTTTATGCTTTATGTGCATGATCCAAGCTTTTTTTTTGTACAACCAACTTCCCATAGGTGAGCGCTCAGGGCCATCTGCAGCATTTGTCTTTGTGAGCACAACTGTATTTAGGTCTAGCTGTGTTTAAATTGGATTGGTGAGAAAACATTTCCTCAGCTAGGAGACATCAGCGCTTGACAGATCAGCCTGTTCTGGCTGATAACAGATAATTAAGCAGCACAAATAATTTGAGGACAGAAAGGAAAGCACTGACAGTCTGGAGGGTTGGAGTGTGATGGGCAAAGGCAAGGAGATGGGAGATGGGAGGGCATCGCATGTACAATGACCCTGGAAACTCCAACATCATCATCGAAGCATCAGGCAGCAATTTAGAAGGAAGAAACTCCTCCTTCACTGGCAAGGAAAGGGGTGTAGACCCATTTGTGCCACGTGCCAGTCCAGCTAATCATAAAGGTTGCTTTTGGCTTGCTGGTGCCAGGTTTCTTGGTTCCTGTTCTGGCTCTGCAATAACATCTCAATTCACTGATGAATTCTCAATCAAGCCAAGGTGTAGCAGTGCTAGAGCATGACCCTTAACTACAGCTGCAATGAAATGCTGAATTAGTTATTCAGAATGGGAGCCCTAAGAGGCTCTGGCTCTTTATGCAAAAAGTCCATTATTTCACTCTGTTATCAAGTCATGTTTCTAACAGCATAATTCTGACTTTCCAATTGCAACTTCTGCGCCCATGTATGACAGCTGTTGGTCCTGGCTTGGAAATGCCAGACCACAAAGAAAGCCTTGTTTCAGGCAAGGATTGTTTATATAAAATGCTATTATACTGGATAAACCTCCGAAGTCACCGTGTGGGAAAGCATGCATATGTGCAAACACACACACACACACACACGTTAAATTTGTTCTGTTTTCCGGTTGCTTTAAAATGAATTAGTTTATGCTTATTCATCTATGTCACACAATATACAATGTGTGCCCTCTCTTTAAATCTAAATTTAAAAGTACAGTACTTTTGGAAATGATTGGTAATGTAAGTTCTTAGTTACAAAATCACTGTTGGTGACTGACAGTATTCATCTTTGGAGCTCGAGGTTCCTAAAAGTCAGCAGTTAATTTTCTTTATTAATATAGTAATAAGACAAAATGTTGTATACTATAAACAAAGTGCTTTTGTATATCATGTCATTAACAGGCCATACGTTTATGTAATAACATAAAAATTACACTCAAAAAATGCTTGTATAAGTATTTGCTAAATGAAGAGTTGGGAAAGTTGTAGAGAATGAGACATGAGGTTCAGCACTTCAGAAATATAGAATAATCCTGTGGGAAATTTCCTCTTGACTCATCTTTTAGGACATGAATTTCCCAGAACCCAGAGCCACGTAGCACTGCAATGTCTGCAAGTATGCATTCAAGACAGTTAAGGATCCTCAGCCATGCCATTACACATATTCATTACACTATATTGGGTAAAGGAGACTCTAGCACAAGACCAAAAAAAAAATCAATTTCAAAGTAAATCAAAACATGATATTATAAAGTCTAACTCAAATCAGACAGCAAATATGAAGTTCATGTGCGGGAGCATTGCGATAAGATTGGGAGACTGTCTCTATTTTAATAATTAAATCCCCACATCCCTGATCTATATCCGCCTCAAGCCTCTGGATTGCTGAATCAGAGGGTATAGCAGTTGTGGCTTTGGATTTTGTGTGTGTGTGCATGCATGTGGTGGAGGCATTACCATAAACAGTGACACCCCAGCGTGGCACCAGGATGTGCTGTATTAACTCTGTGTGTTATTATAGAACTCATTCCCAGAGCGGGCAAACTGCACAGAGAAAACACTTATTTTCTCTCACCAATTTAAACACAATCTGACTCTGTGGAGCTAATTCTGTTGTGCTTATTCAAGAGATGATTTCTCCTGAGGATATGGAGAAAGAGGAAAGTAAAGACAGACCGTTTCTTCACTCAATCCTCCGCTTGTATCTCTTGTTGTATGCGGCCGAGGGGCTGACCACAACCGTTACCAATTGGCCCTGGTGTGACAGACTGTGTATACAAGGTAGTGCTCTATTGCCAACCAAAACACACACATCTCTGGATGTAACTGGAACTTCACTTGGTGCGCACACACGCAGCATGATGATACAACAATTATGGTATTTACAAGATGTTGCACACTCTTGAAAGAGTTTCTTTCAACTCATTTGTGTTTTTCTTTATCTTTTTATTCTGCTTTCAGCTGCTTGTTGTAAACAAACTCACCCTGAGGGTCTGTGGGAGGTGAGGATAAGGGGGAGTTTCACTCAAAACCTCAGAGTTTTACCAGTTTTTAAAAGCCAACAAATCATTTAGATGCCAACATAGAACTGAAATGAAAACATGAAAGGAAATGTGCAAGTTCTGTCTATGAAAGACAAGGCTCAGTATAGATATAATCCTAAAAATGTGTTTGGTCAACCTGGCATGTTGGGAGCGAGGACACATAAACACAACCACTTTCTTCCACTAACATTCCTTTAGCACAACACTAAAAATGTAAGTTTATTTATTCACAGTGGAATTTCTCTTAATGTTTAAATATTCACACTGGTGATGGATAATTAACAACTTGATTTCTGTTGTGGTCTCCAACACCAACACTCCAGGAAACATCACTATAGTTTTCACCCAGGGTCCAACCACTCATAATGTGATACCTAAAAAAATCAATGAATATAAGGTAACATTTCTAAAAAATAATTGAAATTACAATGGGAACATGTCACACAGAACTGCCTACTAAAGTGCACAAGATGGAAAATGAGCCTCAGGGATATTACTGCTGTGGAAAACCATGTAAGCCACAAGGACTGCATATGTAATAAAATCTTATTTAAATAAAATAATTATGAATTAATAATTAATTAATTATTAATAAAATATTAATTAATAATTATGTTTTTACCATCCTCAATCAAATCCCCCAGAAATGATAAACATGGACTCCCATCATGCAATTCATTGATCAGCACTCTATGTAAATAATAGTGAGTAAATTCATAACCATGCAGTGTCAGCATCCACCCTGTTTCTGTGTGGGTTTTGTGTGCACATGTGTTGATGGGGTTTGAGAGGACATCAGCACACTATTTGCTCTCCCTACATATGGCCTTCTCAAGTGCTGGGCCACATGTGTACAGATTAGTCTCACTGCTAGACATCATTGCCCCCCTCCCCCCTCCACCAATGAGTCTATAAGTCCCTTCAAAGTGGACTGACAGGCTCCCCAGTCAACACTTTGGGGGTAACTTAACCTGTACTGCATCATTAAACACGTCCTTCCTCTAGGACTACATGAGTGAGGACAAATGTTTTAGTTTATGCAACTTATGCCATAAGCACATGCCTTGATCTTAATACAGT